CCCCCCCCCCCTCCCTCTTGTTTCGCCAGCCGAGCCAACTAACATTTCCCGATGTAGTCTGTGGGGTATCTACCTGGTCAGCGAGAACAAGACCAACCTCGATGACCTCGTCCACTTCACGCTCCGCGAATGGTCTCGCTTGTCGTTCAACGTGACTGAGGCTGAGGTGGAACGGGCCAAGGCTCAGCTGAAGGCTTCCATCCTCCTCTCTCTCGATGGAACCACCGCGATTGCCGAGGACATCGGCCGCCAGATCATCACCACTGGCCGCCGTCTGAGCGCCGAGGACATTGAGCGGGCCATTGGTCGCATTACTGAGAAGGATGTCATGGACTTTGCTCAGCGGAAACTGTGGGACCAGGACATTGCCATCAGTGCGGTTGGCCCCATCGAGGGTCTACTGGACTACCAGCGCATTCGCAACGACATGAGCCGCAACAGTATATAAGAGGCTAAGACGTTTACTTAGCCTCCATGTTGCTTGTGTCTCGTCAATGGCGGCTACCATTTGGTTTCATTTATTCTGCAGCCTGCTGAGCGCTTGATAGATAGATGATGTGGTAGTAGTAGCAGGAGCGCATATTTCCTTTGTATTGTACAGTATACGACTGCCCGTCTGACAGACCAACTCAAAAGACAATTCCAATTTCCTTTGTTTGAGCATTGCCCAGGCGTTTTAAGAAGACGTAGAGACCAACACGCTGCATCGATTATCACTATAGATGCCTAGGTACGGGTCAGCATCCGAGAATGGATGAGTCTCCGCTATTTAAGAATCACTGTCGGAACTGTAGTTATCTACTTTCTTCAGTCTATGCCTATGCGAGTAATCAGTGATTGGGTTGATGCCCAAGAAAAACTTCAAAAAATCTCTTGAATTAGTAAGCGTAGCTGCGATTTTCGGATAAGGATTGGGGTAATTAACTAAAGGGGTGATCAGTAATACAATAATATCTTCCATTCTTGATTAATAATTGATAAATTATTCTCACTGAATCGAGGAAGTTGCCTCGGTATTTTTTTTGTGCTGACTGCATCTGTGAATAACTATTCATATTAGGTAATCAACTGCGATGTCAGTGACGTAAGTATAAGTTTTTTGCAATATGAATCTAGCAGTCAGCTGGGTGGTTTAATTGCACCATCTTGTTTGTTGTAGTGTCCTTTGAATGATCTCCCAGCTTGGAAAGGCGATATTTGTGCCGTAAGTATTGTTCAAGATCGACATTGGTAAAATGCTTGGGCAATACCGCGTATTCGCTTTCAACCTTGATGGCGTGTCTTGTCGGTGGAGCACGGCTGCCGCAGTGGGCTTTGCTTTTGACCGAAAAAACTGGAAAAAAGCCGCCGTGTCCGGACAGATTATTAGGTATTTGCTTGAGATCTATCCACATCAGGGTCTGATTGGCTGTGATTAGACCGTTTAGACCCCTCCGTGGACGGCAACGTTCACCAAGCAGGTCTTGTGTCTGAATTTCTGTCCTGCCTGGGTGGATGAGATTCATGGATGGACCACGTTTATGCAGTGCCATAACAAAGGTTATGATTGCGCAACATCTACGCCAGAGCCTCCCCGTTCCATATCTACCCAATCTAACCGCGCCGTGACACCTTCCGTACTGGGTAGGGTAGGCCTGAGGGGTGGAGTACATCATGCTTTTTAACGATTTCCGTCCCAATCTCAGAATGGCAGATGCCCCGTTGTTCCAGAATCATCCGAGACGGCTCCTCTCGGAGCGTCCTGCTTCCAGCAGTTTAATTGGGAGATCTTGATGGAGATTTTCCCATTCGAGGTTATAGAGCCGTCCAAGATGATTCGTGACGTCGAACCTCCGAGAGGGCCTGAGCCACGAGAATATTCGAATCAGTAATTGCTCCATCTTGCTTTATAATCGATACTGGATCTCCTAGGCAGGTATATGTGCATAGCGGTGTAGCCCCTCCCTTTTCCTCTGGTGCTAATTATAAATTCATCAGTCATCTTGCCTGTGTACTCTACTTGTCTGGAATCAGCCTACCTCTGACGTCAATCAATCCGTTATCCGAACCTTCTCTTCCAGACATACCGCTTCCATTGACAAGCGTCGCTGTTAGAGACAATATGCCAGGAAACAAGGCTCTCATTTTCAAGAAGGTCCCTGAAGGCCTGCCGGTTGCTGGTCGGGACCTCACCGTCGAGCCGGTCCCTTACGACGCCAGTTCTCCTGCCCCCGAAAATGGCGTCTTGCTGCAGTCGCTCTATGCCAGTTTTGACCCGTACTTGCGCGGTCGCATGCGCCCAGCCCACGTCAAGTCCTACACTCCCGCCTTCGAACTGGGCAAGCCCATCGAGAACAGGGTCATTGCCAAGGTCCTCAAATCGGACAATGCCAAGTTCAAGGAGGGCGATCTCGTGGTCGGAATGCTTCCGATTCAGGAGTACGTTGCACTGACCAGCATTGAGATCGATGCTCGCGGCATCGAGCACCTCAACAATCCTCTGGGCATCGAGGACATTCGAGTGTTCCTGGGTGCGCTGGGTATGCCGGGACTGACGGCCTACTCCTCCCTCTACGAGATTGGCAAGCCCAAGAAGGGTGAGACCATCTTCGTGTCTGCTGCCAGCGGTGCAGTCGGTCAGCTGGTTGGCCAACTCGCCAAGCACGAAGGACTCAAGGTTATTGGTAGCGTCGGGTCGGATGAGAAGCTGGAGTTCATCACCAAGGAGCTGGGCTTCGACGGCGGGTTCAACTACAAGAAGGAGAAGCCGGCCGACGCTCTGAAGCGCCTGGCCCCGGAGGGACTGGATATCTACTACGAGAACGTGGGTGGTGAGCACCTTGAGGCGGCTCTGGACGCAATGAAGAACCACGGCCGTGTGATCGTGTGCGGTCTGATTTCCAGCTACAACACGCCCATCGAGCAGCACTACCCACTGCGCAACTACAGCTACATCTTGACGAAGAGACTGACCGTGCGCGGTTTCATCGTGTACGACCAGGGTATGGGCGACAAGTACGACAAGGAACACCAGGAGCGCGTGCAGAGATGGATCAAGGACGGCACTTTCAAGGCTGTGACGTGGGAGACGCAGGGCATCGACCATGCTCCGGAGGGCCTGCTTGCCTTGTTCCACGGACGCAACTTTGGCAAGGCTGTTCTCAAATTCTAAGCATTCTCGCCGTCAACTGTTCTGGAATACCACGATCTGTTCTCCATGAGCATTGCAAGGATAAATATGTACGGTGGCCTCAGTCGGGGTTTCTCATGAATTGTTCGTCTCTTAATATTGCATGTAGTATACGAATGAAATGCATGTCATGAATGGGACTGAAAGACAGGAAAAGAAGTAGAATTTATGTTGGTTAGAAATTGCCTCTCAATAAGCACAGTAGTAGATCTCACGATCGGCTATATGCCTGGCTATTTAGCTGCCGGGCTTTCTCGGTTGTAGGGGAGGCCCGCCAGCCAATCACATGATTTGCAATAGGATGACCGCATTCCGATTCGCCTTCCCGAGGAACTCAGCAACTTCACCTTCCATCCGCGACCTTGCGCCGACGACACTCGATTGCAGTCCACGTCGAGCTTTTTGTATCCCAGACAAGCCACGCCAGACGGTCTTGCTTGCTTGGGAGACGTCGAATCGCCCGAGTAACGATTGGATCTTCATACAGGGAAAGCAGCACGAAACACCATGGCCGCGCTCTTCCGCCCCTCCTCCACCTCGATCCTGAGGCAGATCACCAAGGTCCCAGCGACCCGGACGGTGTTCTACTCCACCAAGGCGTCTCCTCTCGCGGCGACAATTGTGCGACCGGTCCAGAAGAAGGAGGGCCCTGTGTCGTCGCAGATTGCCGCCTTCCACGCCTCGGGCAAGAAGGAGATCTTGAAGCCGCTGCCACGTGAGTGCACCTTGGAATCTGCCCCCATTCAAATTCGGCTGCGTCAGGTCAAATTGAACTGCATTGTATGAGCAAGCTGACAGTTCTGATTACAGAGGTTGTTCATGGAACGAGTATGTCTTCGATTTCCTTTTTCTTTTCTCAAGTGATTTCTCCGTCCTTCCGTTCGCCCATACCAGAGATGGATCGTGCAGTCACTTTATCTAAGACAGCAGTTGAGAATCAGGGATATTATGCGAGCATGAAAATACGTGCAAAGTATTGATTGAGCATGCTGACATGAGTCGTGATGTTTAGCAAACGATGCTGCTCCGCTCCCACCGCACAACCCGACTCACGGTAGCTATCACTGGACTTTCGAGAGGTACATTTCACCCTAGAGAGAATCGATATCGCAATGCTATGCCGGGAAGCTAATTACTCTATGATAAACTGCAGACTTGTTGCGGCCAGCTTGATCCCTCTGACCGTCGCTCCTTTTGCCGCTGGCTCTCTGAGCCCGGTTACGGATTCGATCCTCTGCGCGGCTCTGGTTGTTCATTCGCACATTGGATTCCAGTACCGTTCCCCCCCCCCCCCTCCTCTTTCGATCTTTTATTCTTCTCAATGCTTACAATACCGCTCGTCCAGGGCCCTGATCATCGACTACCTCCCGGCGAAGCGTGTGCCCAAGACTCGGGCATTCTGCACGTGGCTTCTGCGTGCTGCTACGCTGACTGTGGCCGTGGGACTGTATGAGTTCGAGACGAACGACGTTGGTCTGACTGAGGCTATCAAGAGGATCTGGAAGGCATAATTGATTGTCAATCACACCTTGTCCTGTCTACACCTTTTTCCTTTGTTTTCCCACCTGCCATTGTACATGTTGTTCCGCAGGCTTGTACGCCCAGGTCTGAAGGCGTGTTTCCCATTGTTGGTCTACATTGAATTATAGGAAAGAAAATATATGTACTTTGCTACGGAAGTTCTCTATGTTCTATCAGAGAAATTCTTGGAAGCATATCCCTAACGCCAGCAAAGCTCGACCATGCCCGGAAAAGAAAATCCAAACATCTCACTTAATAACACCAAGGGGAAAAGGTATCAGATCAGTCATCATCGTCGTCGTTCTCGTCAATCAGGGAACCCTCCCCATCAAGCCTGTCGTCATCGTCTGCTTTGGCCATGGCCTTCTCGATCAATTTCAGCGTCGTTTTCAAGGGTAGCCCGATAACGTTGTCGTAGCTCCCGTTGATCTTCTCGATGAGGATGGAGCCCAGCCCCTGCAAGCCATAGCCACCGGCTTTGTCGGCGCCTTCTCTCGTTCGCACATAGGCCAGGATCAAGTCATCCGTCACTTCGCTATCGAACCGCACCTCCGTCTCCTCGACGGCGGTCTCGAGCGCGTAGCCGGGCTGGCGCGCACTCGCCAGCGGCACCATGACGGCGATGGCCGTGTACACTTTGTGGTCTCGGATATCGCGCAGGTCCTTGAGCATCGCCACATGCTGGGCCTCGGAGCGCGGCTTCTCCAGGATCAACCCCGTCGTCGGGTCGACGACGATCGTGTCCGCCGCCAGGATCAGCGCCGGCTCACCTTTCTCCTCGTTGACGATCTCCCGCCGGTACACGGACTGCGCCTTCTTGGTCGCCGTCGCCAGGACGTACTCGAAGGGCGCCATAGTCTTGGGCAGATCCTCGGGCTCCGTCGACGGAATGACCTCGATGTTCGGCAGCCCCAGGAGCGACATGATCTGTTTCCGGCGTGGTGAAGCCGAGGCCAGGATCACCCGTTTCGATCGCAGGCTCTCCAGCACGGGCAGGGCGAGGGGCGGCGGACGGGGCAGCGACGGACGGGCAGGAGCAGTTGCAGTAGCGGCTTCATAGCTGGGAGGGTCCGCGGGGATGTCGGTCTTGCTGCTGTTGAGCAGCGATTCCTTGGAGTCGGCCATTATTATTTCGACCAATTCAAACGGTCAGAGGTCTAATCCTTTGAACAGTTTAAGAATTAAAAGGAAATAAACTTCATGAATAGAAGTCAAAAGTCAATAGAAAAAATAGAAAAGAGGGGCAGATGTGTTTGTGAGTCAGGCTCGTAAATTGTATCTTTTTCACGGAGTTGATACAGGAGGCGGTGGGCGCTGGCAGAACTTAGTGAGTTGTGGGGACGGCTTACGCCAGCGTCTGCCACCAACTTGCACTCAGACACCAACTACGACATCATGAGAAGAGGATTCTTTGTCCAAGAAGAAGTTATCATTTGACAGAATTAAGAAAGTTATGAGTGTCTAACATACAAAGGATACTTTTCTTTTGGATTCTTGGTATCATCAAGTGTCAGTCATTTCGTCCACCTTCCTCTTCCCGGTCCCACTGTACGACTCGCTCATGGCCCTGCCAGTATCGCTTCCACTTCCATGCCACTCGCTGATTTCCCATTCGATCGTTGTTGATTGATCGTCACTGACGCCGAATCCTCGCCTCTTCCTCATGATACGGCCCAACTTGCTGCCTTCGATCATCTCCTCGAACCAGGGGATCCCTGCCGTCGTTCCTTCTCGGTAGCTCTTCACAAAAGAT